TTTCACATTCACTAACAGGACACAGTAGGCTAATTGGGTCTGCAGAACACAGACCAGCAATGGAGCTGGAGCCAGCTCCCAGGAGAACCCAACACCGCATCCATCAAATCATTTTCTATTCACTTTGTCCGATCTCAACCGGAAATTTCACAAATGAGAACAAGTTCCCTAGTCAACCTCAGAAGCACCAGAAAAGCTCCCCACATTTGCAAACCCGAGGCAATTAGAGGGGCATGCACAGAGCTTTGCTCTATGTATGTAAGCAGACAGTAGAGGGATGAGAGATGTCATGAAGAGGGCTGCTCCACAGGCCATCAATTTCATGGCACTGCATCTCATTGGAAGGTCTTTTGATATGTCATATGCAGGCAGAGATGTGGCTCCCAGAAGAATGTAGGGATTCATAGAAATCCAAATCCTTTACCCAGGCAGGCAGCATGGTGTCCTGAGACTTAGTCTCAAATCCTTTCCTCCACCTCTCCACCATCCCTCCTGGCCAAGTGCATTGCAGTGCTAGGGAAATCTGAGCATGCTCATGCCTCCCGCTGTCAGCACCCCTCTCTTCTTTGTGAGGTGTTACTCATTCTATATTTTAAAGATAAAATTTTGGGGGAAATTCACAGGTGTCATTCCTCTTGGGAAAGTAACCAAGTTTTCTCCATGTCCCCACAAACTGCATGATTACATCCCTGACTGAATTTCTAACTCTGTTTCCTAATTTTTCCTTCTGATACTGTTCTTCAGCTTTCTTTTTGACTTATGCATGGGCCTTAGGAAGACAGAGTCTGTGTATAAGGGCTTGCCTTAGGGGAGGTGAGGAAAGCGAGCGAATGCAGGAAACCTTAGGAGAGCTGGGGCCACAGGGGTTACAGTAGGTACAACGCCTGTAGATTGTCTATTGTGTCAGACTTAGATTAGATAAACAGAAAGGAAGGTAGAGGAAGAACAGAAGATATGTTAAAGAGACACATTCATTCACATGAAACATGACAAACACACGCATTCCACATGGAACCTTGAGGAGTAGGCTTTATTCTTAATTTGGTAAGTTAGAGTTTGAAACTCAGGAGCAAAGATGATGCTGGCATCAGCACAGTGCTTGGTTTCAATATACCAGAGGTACAAGACCAAAACAGCATGGTGTTAGCATGACACCAGACATGTGGACCAAGGGAACAGGGTACAGGACCTAGAGATAATTCCAGCCACCTATAGCCATCTGATTCTCAGTGAAAGTGCCAAAAGCATAAATGGAGAAAGGACAGCCTGCGCAACAAACAGTGCTGAGAGAGTGAGACATCTTCATGAAGTAAATTAAACCTAGACTCTCCATTATTGCTCATTCTGTATTTAAAAATGAGCCAAAAATGAACCAAAGGCTTAAAACTCTGAAACTTCTAGAAGAAAACATACCAGAAATATTGGCACAGGCAATGATTTTTTCTGAAGAAGACTCTAATAGCTCAGCAAACAGAAGCCAGACCTGACAATGGGATTACATCAAATTAAAAAGCTTCTGTACAGCAAAAGAAAAAAAAGAAGAGACAACTTACACGAAAGAAAATCTTTGCTAGCTATCCATTTGACAGGGGATCAATATCCAGAATATATAAAGAACTCAAAAGAACAAATAATTTCATCAGAAATTGCCAAATGATCTGAAGAGATACTGCTCAAAAGAGATACTAGAAATGGCTGATAAATATGTGAAAATTGCTCAATAGCTTTAGCTTTCAGAGAAAAGAAAATTAAATTTTATAATTCAGCTGTATATATATATACATATATATATGTATAAAGCTGCAAGCCTGTGTTTGCTTTAGCACTACCTATAATAATTAAGATACAGAATTTACCTAGGTACCCATTAACAGATAAAATATATAAGGAGAACACACACACACACACACACACACACGAGTATTATTTAGGACAATGAGGAATGAAATCATACTATTTGCAGGAAAATGGATAGAGCTGGAGATCATGGTAAAAATAAGGCAGACACAGACAACTATCATATCTTCTCTCATGTGGAAACTAGAAAAATAAAGCAAATGGCTCAGAGAGAAGGGTACTATGGACACAGAGTTAGGATCCTGTGTCCTGTGTAAACGTAGCCAGCAAGGGATGAGGCTGGGATGTAACTCAAAGGTTTTTTGACTCCCAGGCTGATCTCATTTTGTTGTTTCTTGGAGAATTGAGGTATGCAGCTGGTTAGTAGGAAGGCAAGTTTTGTGTTTTGCAATGAAAGGGTTACAGAAAGTTGAGTTTGCAGCACCTTCATCAGTACACATCCGCTCCTGGTGCCTACCAGGAATTGATATTAGGGACTTCCACTCAGTAAACATACAGAGAAAGACTCAAGACCTTATCCAAACAAGGAAGAACATCCTAGCACATGTCTGGAAAAGAACCAGAATGCAGATGAGTGTCTGTCTGGTTGGTTTTTAATGTCATCTTGACACAAAACAGTCACCTAGAAAGAACTGAGGGATTGGCCTGTGGTCATGTCTGTGGGTGTTTGTCTTGACTGATGATTGATGGGGGATGGTGGGAGGCACCATCCCTAGGCGGACAAGTCTGCCCTATCAAAGAAAGCTAGCTTAGAGAGTTAGGAGAGTGAGCCAGTGAGCAGCATTCCTCATGGTTCTCACCTCCAGCTTCCTTCCTTGCGTTCCCACCCTGACTTCTCTCAATGGTGGGTTATCGAAGTGTAAGGTGTGATAAATACCTTCCTCTCTTAAGCTGTTTCTGGTTTTGGTGTGTTTATCACAGAAACACACTGAAACTAGGACAACAATTTAGTGTTCAATCTTCTTACTATATATAATTGGGTTAAGTGACTTCAAATAAATTGTAATCATATGTCCATTTGAGCTGACATTTATGGAATCCTAGCACCCTCTTCAGATGTGGCCTGTGAAGGAAACAACTTCCAATAAATGGACTTAAAGAGACACAAAGAATATTCTCCATCCTCACTCATGTCTGCCAAAGGGGTTTTTCATAACTGCTATGGACCAAGACTGCTAGAATGTTTCCAATACCTCTTCTTTCTTAATGGAAGTGTTTTATGGTATGTGTATGTGTGTGTTGATTGTGATATCAGATTATTTGTCCTATTAATTTATCAAACACATATATATGTATTAATACATATTAACTAATGTATATTTATTGGTTAATTGGGAAAGACAGTCAAACAAATATTAGTTGACAAGGTGGGTAGGCTATGGTGTTTATATATGTTATTCATACATTACTTTCAGTTTTCCTTCCAGTCATACCACAACCATCACTTCCCTGCCCCCCTTCCTTCCTTTCTTCCCCCTTCCCTTCCTCCCTCCCTCCCTCCCGCCTTCCTTCCTCCTTTCTCTCTCTCTAAGTCAAAAGAAATGAGAGAAAGGTGACTGCTGTACTTGCTTGGGTCCCAAGCTGACAATGAAGCAGGGAAGAGATTGGTAAAGAATATGGAGACACAAGTACCAATTAACTGAGAATTGGAGCAGGCCCGTCACTGCTGGGCACCAGCCTATTCTAACTGATCCAGGGATCACCTGAATTATTTACAGAAGCACGTTTTGTTTGGTGGGACTGTTTTCCCAGGTGGCAAGCATGTGTAACCGGGGAGCAGTAGCTGTAACTGACTTGTGCAAGTAGAGGCAGGTTGCAGCTTGGGGTGACAAAAACCCAGATGTGATCTCTGAGGGCTACCAGGAAGGAATCGTGGTATAGTGTACCTAGTGTCTTTTCGTATAGGTTTTCTCCAGGCAGTGTTGGTATCTGCCTGGGCCACTAAGCCACATCAAGGGCCCCACTTTAGCACAGCTGTGTCCAGTGACTAATGATTTCTGTTCAACCTCCAAGTTAGCGCCTTGCTCTGTTAGTTTCATGGAATCTTGCCATAAGGTACAGTCTACTTCTCCTGGTCACCTCAGGGAGTCTAAAATAGTGAAACAACTCTCATACCCAAGTCCTGTAAAATGTTAAACAAGCCTTGTCACACTCAGGTCAAACATGTCAAACATGACATGGGTAGTCTCAGTTCAGGAGAACCTGTTTTAATTCCTCACTCATCTGTATCTACTCCCTGGAATTTGGTTCCCAAAGCTCATAGTGTAGACTGTATACTCCTTGCATATTTTATCCCATGAAGCTGCTCTGAAATCACTCTTTATCCAGCCCACAGAGAAACATGTCTCCTGTGTGTAACTCCTGGGTCCACAAAGTACAAATTATCATATGGTTGGCCTCTGACATCCACAGGTTCTTCAGGTGGCCCCAAAATACGTCTTTAAAGGTTGTGTCTGCACTTCACAGTTACAGACATTTAAAATTACCAAACAATGTGATACAACAACTATTTGTATTTATATTGTATTATGCACTATGAATAGTCAAGAAGATTTGAAGGATACAGGAGACTGTGTGGTATTATGGAATAGTCTTTTTGTACACTGTGAAGAGAGCTAATGGAATGGCTAGGCAGGAAGAGGTTAGCAGGACTTATGGTCAGAGAAAAAGAGAGCACAGGGATGAAGAAGGGTGGAGTCGCCAGGATGTGGAGAGAAGCAAGGTGAACTTGCCATGCTGAAAAAGGTACTGTCATGTGGTAGAACACAGATAAAAAGTATGTAGATGCCAGGGGTTTGGACACTTGAGTGACAATGAAATCCTTGGTTTCTAAGCAACCTTGAGACAATTAACAGTTTCAGAGATTCTACATTTAACCCTTGATGTATGCAGTCACAGTTTGGAACCAGTTACAATCCTAGAATAATAAATGAACTTATCTAGGCTGATCTAAAATAAAAATCCATTCTCAAGTCAGGCATTCCATTATTACTTAAGGCTAGTGTCTGCATTAATGCTTACTTTTGTAAGTACCAGTGTGCTAGTAAAGAGCTACAACTTTGGTTCTGGATAGATTTCATGTTACTTGTTCTTTTTTTCTCTATCAGGATCTCTCACAGACAACATACTCCACTTAGGGTTACCTTGCCAACAGGCGCCGACAGTAAGTTGCATGGCTATATGAGATGGATGAATGGGCCAGTCATTGGTCACCAGGTATGGTTCATATGTTGCTCCATCCATGTATAGAGTGACCACAGGAAACTCCACATTGATGACATAGTAATGCCACTCTTTGTCACAAATCTAATGGGGAAAAAGAACACAGAGAGAGAAGCAACACTTAAAATTGAATCTACAATGTGAGACCAAACTGCCTTTTAAAATCTCATTCTGAAGGGAAAAGATGTTTTTGGGTCAGTAGTTACTACCCCAAAGACTTAAAGAACATAATTTTGACATATACCACACATTAAGGTTATCAAACTCATTATCAAACACAATGAGAAGAAGAATTAAAAGCAGATCCAGTCACTGGCTGAGTACAGTCACCCTTCAGTGTTCAGAGGATTGGCTCCAGGAACCAATCTGAGTTTAAAAATCTGCGGATGCTCAAGTTCTTTGTATAAAATGGTGTTGCATTTGCAGGTAACATGCGCATATCCTTCTGTGTACTCTAAATAAACTCCAGATCTCTTATAGTGCCCAATGCAATGTAAATTCTTTAAATAATTGATCAGCTGTGTTGCCTAGAGACTAACAACAAGAAAAGAAAAAGCCTACTCATATTCAATATGGGAGCCATTCCTAAGTTTGGGTGGATTCATGGATGTAGAACCTTTAGGCACAGAGGGCATACTGCATTTGATGCATCCGGGGAAGCAGAGAAGGGCCACAAGTGAACCTTTTGGCCTGTACTGAGAACTGGATACTCTTAACATAGTCTTTTCACAGCCAGCCATACCCAGGGTCCTGTTCTTTTTCATGGCTGGAGACCAGCATTGATGGATTCGTAGAATGTGGGTGAGAGGGTGGTGTGACAGTTGATTTTGACTGTCATCCTCACTGGGTTGAGAAACACAGGGAACCAGTGAAGCACACCTCTGGTGTGTCAATGGGGACATTTCTAGGGATGATTGCCTCCATACGGCTCTGACTTAATGAATTAATTAATCCCTTAATGAATTCATAATATGGCCATATTACTTGGAGGTGGTAAAAGCTAGGGATGTGGGGGATGAGGCTAGTTAGAAGAAGAGGTTACTACAAGGGTGTCTTTGGAACTGTATCTCACCCTGGACATTTCCTGTGTTTCTTGACTACCAAGGATGGCTCTGCTCTGCCATCCCTCTCTGTTATGATGGACTGACATCTCCAAAACAATGAGCAAAAGCAGTTTTCTCTCCTCCATTTAGGTGTTTGGTTATAGTGATGTAAGAATAACTGATACAGCAGGAGACATATCTCATGGCCCCAGAGACCAGACTCACATTGTACAATCAGTAACAGAAAACGTGCGAAGGGAGGCAGAAAACAGAAGAGGCAGCAGGACTAGCGCTCCCCTCCCTCTGTGCAAGCCTGGGCTCTCTCCTTTGTGTTCAGTCTCCTCCACTCCCTCTGCACCCTGTGGAATCCTCTGAAGTGTCTTTCATCTGTATCATCTACTCTCCATCACCCCTGCCACAGATGGCAGGGGAGGCTGATGAGTTCTACATGAAGGTGACCTCAAGGTGAGGGCATCAAAGCCCTCCCTCCATTCCACACTGGATTAAATGTGCTGTTTCTCATGAATAGATAACACCAACAGGGATGCTAAATGATCTTTTCCCTTTCATTTTGGAATAAGAATTTTTTTCCTTAATGTTCTTTTTATATTGTCCCATTTCATATCCTAGAAAATTATTCCTTTTGAAGCCTATTAGTATGATAAAGCCTGATGAATATTTTAGGGACTTTAGTAGGTGAGCAGGATGAGTCCAGGCAGTATCTTGTTGAATTCAGTGAGAGTCTCTGACTCAGTTTATACTTCCCACTTTAATCAGACCATATCTAGATGCAGAGATTTGGGGTTGAGCCTGTGACTAAAAGGGGGGGTGATCCTAGGTCATAGGGGTACTAGACAGGAGGAACTATGACTTTAGGGCTGTTGGAAGAGAAGCATTTGAATGAAGCTTCCAACCCAAGGGATCTCAATGCAGCCTGTGTTTGGAGTTGGGGTCAAGGATAGCCAGGCAGCAGAAGAAACTTAGAATATGGTTTACATCTAAGAGGTATCTGGAAGCTTCTGGTTAGTTCCAGGGTAACAATGAAATGTTCTGGACACATTTCCTCCCCCGTAGAAAGTAAGTCATCAGGGAGAGCTGTGTCTGTAGCATACAAGGGCTCCTAGTTCTGATTCCCATCACTACCCTCGCAGCACTTATGGTCTCTGTGCACATGGCAGGTCAATCCCATGTGCTCCAGTCCATCATACTACACTCGGAGGCTGCTGAAGATGAAGTGCAATGGTCATCTGGCCCTCTCTACATTTAGCCTTTTCATAAGACAACAGAAAACATTTCCAGGAAGAATAAGAACCATTTCATATTTTATGAGCACCAGAGCCCTTCCCAATATGGTAGTTTGTTTCCTAGATACTTTTACTACAGTTTTTCTGAATTGTGCTTCATTGATAGGCAGCTTCTATGATGCCTTTCATAATACAGGGAGCCTGTGTCCTGGGCTGAGCCTCATGGTGGAAGTGAAGAGGCTTTCACTCCCTCATGAGTATATCCATGCTCCAAATAGACTTAAAGAATATGCCTTTAACACAGTTTCAACCTTGGAGATGGGGGCATTTCTAGTTACAGTGTTTGTATAAACATCCTGAGGAACAACAGCCATGAAAGCCCTGTTTGGATCACACTGTCTAATGATTTGAAAGTTTGCATGTATCAGTTAATGTTGGCATTGAAAACCCCATTATAAGTGGCCATGTGATGTGCCTATGAATATCCCATAATACACATAACTATTGTCTCATTATTAGATTAATTTCATAACAACGATTACAGATGATGCTATAATCAATTTCTTGGGCATAAATGTCTGTCTGTATTTCTGAATATATCCTTAGGAAAGATGCTTGGAAGGATATTAAATGGCTCAAATATCAGAGTTATTTTAGGTTCTTGATACACACAGTGATTTTTTTCCATATAAAGATTATAACTCTTTATTCTTTTACCCAGAGAATTCGAGAAGGTTCCTGTGTTGTACTGTTGTCACATTAAGTACCAAGTTGGGGAGGGGAATCTCAGAAGTTTGTAAAGGAACACATCTTGTCTTGTGTCTGTGAAGAATCACAAAAGATAGTACACTCATGTGTTGCCAAATCGAAACAGAGGCTTACTACCTACGTGAGGAGCAGCCAAGGCCCAGAGGAATGAGCCGAACTGTGCTCATGAGCTCTTAATTGGGCATCCAAACAGTCTTTTAGTTCACACTAAGCTTATGGCTGCAGACTTGTCCCAGTGAGCTATGTCAGCCGCTGAAGGAGATGCCTAATTAGAGTTTCATAAATGTGGATCTATGATCAGGAAGAGACCCACATTGACCCTTGGCTAGAACGGCAGGAACAGACTGTAATTGAAAAATGATCGAGCCAGGAGGCAGCAGAAATAGAAGTATTGTTACATAGGTCAACCAAGACAAGGAAAAAGGCAAAGTGACCTTTCCTTGGGGGAGAGACGAACTTTAATTCTTAGCTGCTTGTGAATCACTGGCAAACCTAACTAGCTTGGCACCTGTCCCATGGTGGCCATGAGTAGATGCCCAAGGCATGACCTAGACAAGGCCACCTCCTGCAGAACACCTGCAGATGGGATTCTTTGTTAGGTCGTTGTGGCTGCTCTTTAGGTGGTAGTGAAAAAGAGGCCAGAGATTCAGAAACACACACCAAGGGCAGGTATGATTCTGGAAGATTCTCTTCACAGCTGCTTACAGTCTGATTCAAATACCATATCCAGGTTGGAAGTTCTGACTTAGTTTCTCCATTAAATCAGGTATTTTTAAATGCAGCTATTTAGCATGTGACACATTGATTTTCTAAGTACTGTGTCCAATGTCTGTGTCTACTGAGGTTGCAAGAGACAGCAGAGCTTATGAGACAGATTCTTTGCCTTCCCGAGTTTCAATTTAGTGGGGAGGGGGAGAAGGATAGGAGGGTATTGCATACAAAAATATTCTAATATAATGGGGATTTAAATAAGTGCTGTAACTCAAGTGCAGAGCACTCCAAGGTTCCGGAGAATGGAGAGATCTTTCAAGCAGGGAGGAAGTGGAGTTTAGGGTGAATACTGCAGGACTGTTAAGGTTTCATTGGGCAGAAAAGGTAGAATAAATTTCAACAAATGAAGCAGAAACCTCTTATTCCTTTAATCGGTCATTTTTTTTCCTCACTGTTGGAGGCATCAGTTTGGCAGCATATGGTGTCTAATTCTTTCAGTCATTTCTGTAGAGACTTGCAAAACATATTTTGTGGAAAAGAACCCCTAAACCTAGCTAGAGTTTTCAGTCCAACTGAGGCATTGATAATAGGCTGGGATTCATAGTCATCCTAGGTTTGTGCAAGGTGCCGGGTAAATTCATGCTATAGGTGTGCATGTGCGTGTGATATATTAGGGAGATGGGAGGCAGTAGACACCGATGCAGGTTTGGGTGGGTAGGTGTTTGAGAGAGGTAAGGAGTGTGGGATGAGGCTGCAAGCATCCTTTGGAGCTGGAGGACTAAGGACCAGAGTTGCTTTTATTCGGAAGGCAACAGGATCTAGGGGAGGGGGAAGTCACAACAACAATTGTAGCAACCATCAATTTTGGAACATGCCTTCCATTTGAAAGCACCTTTCCATATTCTTGCCTAGGCTATCCAATTCCCTGTTAAAGCAGGAAGATCAATTCTGCTAGGGAGCTTTTGAAAAGGGAATGAAAGAGATGACAAGGCTCCCAATCACAAGGAGCTTGTAAACTTACTGGGAGTTGGAGGTGACATGCAGGCCACCATGGGGGTGGGATGGGGCTTCCATGTTTTGCTTCCTGTCCTTTCATTTCACATAAAGGCAGTGTTTGTGCATAACATTGGATCACACTAGGATCTCAGCTGCTGGGCAGTGGGCTCACATGTCAGATTGTCCCTGAATAGCCTCACCTGGAGATTCTGCGGGTATTTCAAATTCATTGTGTCCCAAATTGGACTCACCAGTGCTGCCCTCTCATACCAGCCTAAACATGCCCTCTGGGTCTCTGTCTCATGTGATCTGTCATCTAAGG